CTGTGACTGCCACCATAATCAGGGAATTGAATAGTACCATTTCTTCTAAGAACTCGTCATACTGTCCCTTTAGAATAATAACCACATCCATAAAACCTGGCAACCACTCATCAGTTCTCCTTTACTATAGTTTTATTGTTCAGGGAATAACATACATATGGAACCCTATTATATGTAATCTTTTGAGAGTAACTTTGTTCATGCAGCATAATGCTGCATGAGATTTATCTAAATTCTTGCATGTATCACTTGTTCACTCATTTTTATTTATGAGTAGTTTTCCATGTCTGTGTTTATCACAGTTTGTTTATTTACTCATTGAAGAGCACCTGGACTGGTTTCAAATTTTGGCTATTACAAATAGAGTTGCTAGGCTGGGGTTGTAGGTCAGTGGTAGAGCTCTTGCCTAGCATGTGTGAGGTACTGGGTTCAATCCTCAGCACCACATATGAATAAATAAATAAAATAAAGGTCCATTGACAACGAATAAATAGAGTTGCTGTGAATACTTGTGTGCAGGTTTTTGTAGAAACATGAATTTTCATCTCAGGAGGGTAAATAAATATCCAGGACTAGGGTTATTGGGTCATAGGATACATATTTTAATTTTCTAAATTTTATAAGACACTTCTAAACTATTTTCCAAAGTGGTACTTTTATATTTTATACGTCCACCAATATGTGCAGTTTTTCCGTATCCTCTCCAGCAATTGCTATTGTCAGTATTTTTATATTAGCAGTTCTATTGATAGATGAGGAGTGGTGCTGGGGATCAAACCCAAGGCCTCATGCATGCCTGGCTAGCACTCTACCACTGAGCTACACTCCCAACCCTATATATCTTTTGGTGAGGTTTCTATTCATTTTTTTAGCCCATTTAAACAATTGAGTTGTTTTCTTATTATTGAGTTTAGGATTCTTTATGTACTCCAGATAAAAGTTCTTTTTTGGATCCGTGATTTACAAATAGTTTCCACATTATGTATCATTATATAGCTTGTCTTTTCATTTTCTTTGAAACTATCCTTTAGGTAAAAATCCTTTAGCTTTTGGTTAAGTTCAGTTTAACATTTTTTTTCTTTACGTATTGTGTTTTTGGTGTCATGTTATTCAAATAACTGTTTGCTTAACTGAAGGTCACAGAGATTTTCTCTTTGTTTTCTTCTAAAGGTTTTATAATTTTATGATTTCTATTTAGATTTATGACTTAACCTTTATATAAGGTGTGAGGCTTAGATTATGGGTCTACATTATTTTACTTTGGAATGTCCAGTTGTTCCAACAGCATTTTGCACTATTGTAGAAATCAAATGACCATATCAATGTGGGTCTTATACTGGACTCTTTTGTTTTATATTCAATGTGTCTATTCTTACCAAATACTACATTGTTTTGATTGCTGGAACTTTATGGTAAGCTTTAAAATTAGGTAATATGATGTCTTCATCTAGCTTCTTTTTCTAAGCCTTTTTCAGCTATTCCTGTTTCTTTGTCCTTCCATATACATTTTAGAGTCAGTTTACCTGTATCTATAAAATATCCTACTGGGATTTTGGTCAGAATTGCTTTGATTCCGTAGATCATTTAGTCGAGAATTGACACCTTTCCTATGTGGAACCTTAGGCTATTACCAGCTAAGCTATACGAACCAAGAAGTCCTGTAGATAATATTTGTGGCAGCAGTTAATGGCTGTTTTATATTTTTTAAAGGCCAAATTCTTCTTCTTCTTCTTTTTCTTTAGTTATAGATGGACACAATACCTTTATTTTATTTATCTGTTTTTATGTGGTGCTGAGAATTGAACCCAGTGCCTCACAAATGCTAGGCAAGTGCTCTACCACTGAGTACTTATTTTTTATTCTTTATGTAATCTTTATGCTGTTGCTGTCATAGACGAGGTCCCAGGGGCAGGGCCAAACTAAACTCTGCTTCATCCAGCCGCTATTTTGTATTCTTTTATGTGATGGCCAGTCAGGTATAACCATAAGAGGAGAAAAAAGGGGAAAACAAAGTTTATTATACTTACAGGGGCCTGTCATGCTAAGCAGTGCCACATGGGAAAGACACCAGGATAAAGCAGTCAGGAGGCAGAAGGCAGAAGTAAGGGGAAGATTTAGGCCATCTTTGGTCAGTTGCTCACCTGTTAGGTGTGGTGTAGTTGTATAATCAAGGCAGTTTTGTCGTAAAGCACAGAAAGGGTTCCATTATCTTCTGACATGACCCTATGGGTATCTTAGAACTGCTTCCACACATAGACATGCACATATACCATGAAGCAAATGTAATATTCATGCCACATATTTGAATCTGAATACAGTAGTAAAAATACAGACTTGAAACTTGGGGAGACCTGAGTGTGATTTCTGACTCATTCATTTATTATCTGTGTGCTCTTGGGGAAGTTACTTAATGACTTGGAGTGACTTGGTCACTCAGCTATGAAATGAAACTATGTAATGAATAAGGTGATGATGCTAATTATAATAAAATCTGAGTGGGAAATGAATGAGATGATGTGTCTAAATATTAGCTCAGTGATTTGCATGTAGAATGGTCAGTACATCTTGGATATTTTTGTAATTGTTAGTGTGTAAGATTTCTTTATATATTAAATATAATTTACCCTTTCATATATATCTTGTATGATTGAATTTTGAGAACCCAGAACAAGGCTTGTCTTTATCTAGGAACTTATTCGTTTTGAATCTTTTTAAAAATATTTTTTTTTAGTTGTCAATGGACCTTTATTTTATTTATTTATATGCAGTGCTGAGAATTGAACCCAGGGCCTCACACATGCTAGGCAAGTGCTCTACCACTCAGCCACAACCCAGCCCTATTTTGAATCTTGATGTTCATTTTATCTGTTTTATCTTCAGCTTTCCTTGGGCCCTTGGAATCAATTCCATTGTTCTCAAGATATATAACTTCGTGTTTTCCTAATGTCTAATTGGCCTTGTGCAAATGCCAACTTTCTTTTGAGGTCAATGGTGAAACCTGGCACAAGAGTCTAGCTTTATCTTAATTATCAGTATGATTTTTCCTCTCTCAGGAAGAGTCTTTATACTGTTTTCTGTCATAGACGAGGGCCCAGAGTCAGAACTAAACCAAACTTCTTCACCCAGGCCTGGAATTCAGAGCACAGGGCACCCTCTTGAATGACCCTCCTGAAATGGTATGGTAAGCTGGCCAGCCTGAGGTAGCAGGAATGATATTGCATTACTGTGCTACCTCCACTTGGGCAAGCCAAGTCCTATTAACCTATAGGACTTTGGGGCTAGCATGGCCAATGAGTCTTCTCCCTTTAAATCCATCCCCTGAAAGCATATTAAGCTTGGTTCAGGGAATGCAGGAGGAGATAGGGAGGTTACTGGATCCAAAGGACAAAAGAGCATCCCTGACTTTCTAACTGAGGTCATATTTGGGAGAGCAGAAGGAAAGAAGCCTCTGATGTAATATAGCGGGTAGGATATGAAATTTTGGTATCTGGAGTCAGATAAATCTGGATGTGAGTGCTGACTTTTATCTGATACAAGGCATTGATCAGGTCACTTCACACTATCTTTCCTTTTCCTGTCCCCTTTCTCTCCCTTCCCTTCATCCCTCTTTGTCTAATCAACTGAATATCTATTTTCTCCCCAGTTATTGTGGGCTAGCTTTTACATAGCAGTAAAAAATTCAACCTTTGACTTTTGAGGACTGGCTTATTTTACTTAGCATGGTAGTCTTCAGATCTATCCATTTGCTTGGAAATGTCATAAAGTCATTCTTCTTTATGGCTGAGTAACATTCCATTGTGTGTGTGTGTGTGTGTGTGTGTGTGTGTGTATCACAAGTTCTTTTTCCATTTATCTGTTGAAGATTGCCTAGAATATACTAAGTGCTCATCATCACTATTGTGAAGCTTTGGTAATGAAAAACAGTCTGGGGAAAATAAAAAGCAGTCTTGGGACCTATTTCTAGAAGAGACCTCTATTCTTTGGGGTCTCCTGGTAATGTCTTTTATAAACAGTTCCATGAACTAAGGAAAGAGCCAAAGTTTTAGGGTGATTCAGTAATGTGGCCTGCCTTTCTCATGAAGGCAAACTATACATCCTGGTAGGATTGCTGTGTCTCATACACACACACACACACACACACACACACACACACACACACACACACACAGACATACACCCTAGCTAGTGACTTTAAGTCTAAGAGGCATGTTGACTCAGAGAATGATGAAAGAAGCTGCTTAAATCCTGTACAGAGCCCTTATAAAAAGGATTTCTTCCTGAGTAAATTATTTTGACTTATGAAGAATTTCTACTCTGATGTTGAGACTGAGAAATAGTATTACTACCCAGTGTTAGAGACTGGTGGTTTTCTTTTCCTTCATCTTCTTTTTAAATTTTCTTTTGCTTCTAAGTACAGAGTCCAGTATGTAAAACAGAGTATAGAAAAACTGGAAGCCTGCCACACTTGCCTTCCCCACCTCCTGCAGCAACTCCTAAAGTTGTTTCTAAGCATAGGGGGAAACAATTTGCAAAGCACTACAGTTGGCTTCCTGGGCTTCTTGTCCAGGTCTCTGGGAAAAATATTTGGTTATGACTGTGTAAATAGGTGACCATAGTCTAATAAATAGGCGTCTTCCATTACAACAGAACACTTAGATACTGCAGTTCCCCTTTCCTAATGCCTCAGCAGTTGAAGCCTCTGATTGGGGCTGACAGGATGTTTAGGGAGCACAGAGCTCATTATGTAATGAAGTGTTGTAACCAGAGTGTGTTCAGGAAGTGTTTGGAGGATTCAGAGGCGCTGATAGTGCTATTCAGAACATTTCAATTAGTACAAAATATACTGCTTTTAATTTATCCTGTGTATGTGTTTTACACAGACAGTGGCTTGTATACATAACCCCCTCCCACATGGCCTGGCTTAACCTGATATATTTTCTTCTTCTACCTCTGCATCAGGGTCTTAGTGTAACCTGGATTTGTTTTTCTTTCTCCTCCAGGTTACAGATGCACATGTTGAATGGGGCTCTTCTGGCATTGCTTTTTCCTGTGGTAAATACCCGGCTGGTAAGTAGCCACTTCTAAAAATGTTCTAGAAATATCCAAAATAGTATTTATTCTTTCCTTACATGTCCTCATTCTTAGCCAATATGCACATGTGATTTACCACACACACACACACACACACACAAACGTGTGCGTACACACACACACACACACACATTAATGTTGAGGGGCTTTAAAATTCTTTTTAAGTGTATATGAACACATTATTTTATTTAATTTTATTTATTTATTTATTTATTTATTTATGTATGTTGTTGCTGAGAATCAAACCCAGTACCTCACACATGTTAGGCAAGTGCTCTACCACTGAGCTACAACCCCAGCCTTGATGTTGAGTTTTAATGCAGTGTAGTAGAAATTGATGGGGTGAGACTCAGGCTGCCATAAGCTTTTACAGACAGGGCTGAGGATGTGGTTCAAGGGTTGAGTGCTTGCTTGGCTTACATGAGGCCCTGGGTTTGATTCCCAGCATACCCCCCCCCCAAAAAAAATAAACAAAAATAAATTAGGACAGACCGAAAAAACTACTGAAACTCTTGGGGAGGTTTAGTGGAAAGATGGGGAACTTAGGCATGACCCATTAGACAGAGGCTTCCAGGTATTTTAGAATGATGCTAGGGAGTTCAAAGCCTGTCAACATTTTTCTAAGGGACCCCAGGGGCAAGAATTCAATTATTTTTCTATCCACTCAAATCCATAGAAAAGTGTGGGTCACACAAACCTCCCGTGACTAGCTGGGAGAATCCCACTGTGACAGGGGCCTAGGTGATAAACCAGCTTTCAGAGAAGCAGGTGCTCCATATCTGGGTTGGGAGTGACTGAGCACTGCCCTTAGACTCCCACATGTGGGGCTACAGAGGGATTAGCTAGCCATTAGAAAGTTCAGTAAAGAAATCACTTGTAAAATCATTTCTACTGCTTTCATGACTTAAATTTATTTTAGGCATAAAAATCAAGAGTTTAATTCTTGAAATCATAAGCTTGCCTTTTGGATAGCACTTTATAAGGCTTTCTCACATGACAGTTGTATGACATAGACAGGGCAAGTATGTTGGTTTCTTGTTTTACAGAGGAAGAAACTGACATTGAGAGAGTCACATAAAGTCCAAGTGGCAGAGTTAGAAGCAGTGCGTTAACTTTTTGATCTTCAAACCATAGATATACTTTGTTCCTTCTGAAGAATGTAATCATCCCCTCCCCATAGATACATACACCCCTATGATACTGTACTTTTCCAGCTGCATATTATACATCAGCAGAAATTAAAATGGGAAGCATTCATCTTAAAGCAGTGATTTTGAACCCTCCTTAGGCCCTGGGATCACTTAATTAGCTTGGTTTCATCATTCCACAGTGTAAACATATATCAAAGCATCATTACATTTTACCCCTTAATTATATTACACCACATTGTCTACCCATAAGTGTAGACAACTTTTTGTCAATTAAATATAAAATAAAATAACAAACAAACTGGTAGGAAAACAAACAACCCTGATGCCCTGCCCTACCCATGGAGTGTCTAAGTTCATGATCTGTGACAAAGCTTTAGTATTGTGTTTTCAGAAGTATTCTAGTTCATTCTAACTCAAAGCCTGAGTTGAAGGCCACTGATTTTTTTTTTTACAGTGGCTCTGAAACTTAATGCCCATAGAAGTTACTTCCAGAGACTTCTTCAAAACTGAAGCTGGAGGGCTGGGGTTAAGGCTCAGTGGTAGACCTCTTCCCTGGTATACATGAAGCCTTGGCCTCATCCCTGGCACTGCCAATAAAAACACTCCTGCTTTGGTCTTAGTTCTAGAGTGGATAATATCAAAGAATGATATTATAAATAATCTAAATTGACAATATAAATCTATACTTTAAAATATGTGGCTACTTTGACATGCCACAGCATCATTCCTTACTGACTCAGAGACATGGAACAGTGTTGGAGCAGAAGTTACTCTCTGCCTGTAGAGGTGACCTGCCATGTTTTCTTATCTCTCTGCCCACCTTGTGTCCCTTTTCTCAGGGGATTGAGAGGTCAGCAGATAGAGAGCTGCTTTCTCCATTTTTAGCAGTTTCATAAGATTCCAAGAAAAGGAGGCACATCAGAAAACCTCTCCTTGGACAAATAGAGCCAGTGATTCTGAGTCTGAGTGCTTCCAGCCTACAATTCTGGCTAAATAGTCTCTGTCATCTGGTGGACATCCTTTGGAGTGCATATGGTGCTCTAGACAGGCCACTTTGAACTCTATTTCTAGTGGACCTTTCCCCAGTGAAAAACAAATACCATTTTCCTTGAAGAACCATTGAGCATAAGCAAGAAGTTATGCTTCCTATTGTGTAAGCATAAGACCACAAAGGGCCCAGTTACGTACCTAGGGTCATTTAGGAAGCTAATGGTAAGGTTTTCATTCAGTCAGCATTTTATATGAATTGTATGTTTCACACCAGGTATGCTAATATTTTCTTAGGCCCTTTATTAATAACAGCAGCAGCATTGTCAACTGCCACTTCTTGAATGCTTATGCTGTGCTAGGTACTGTTGTGTTTTACACAGATTAATTTACTTAATCTTTAAAATAGACTTATGAGGCAAGGTACTGTTATTATCCACAAGATCAAGATGCCAGCAGGATTGACTTCCTTTGAGGCCTCTCCGGATTGCAGATGGAAGCCCTGTGGCCTTTTTACATGGTCATCATCTCCCTGCATGCATACCCATAGTGACTCTTTGTGTGGCCAAATTGACTCTTACAAGAACATCCATAAAACTGGATTAGGGCCGATTCTGATAACCTCCTTTTAACTTAATCCCCTCCTTGAAGGCCCTGTCTCAGTATATTCACATTCTAAGGTGCTGGGGGTTAGGACTTCAATGTATGAATTTCGGGGGTATGCACTTCAGCCCAGAGCACGTGTACTACACGGCACAGAGATCACTGTTTCTCCCCTGTCACCCTATGCTTTCCTTCTCTCATTCTTTCTTCTCTCTCCCTCTCCCCTTTTCTCCTCTCTCATGGCAGATGTGCTGTTATATTTGTTACATTAACAGCTAATACTTTCCTTGACACCAAAACTTCTTTGATGGGCTATCTCTTAACTAGGGATTCTAGTTACTCTGGTAAATCTTTATGCTCTTTTTCTAAGATGAAAGCAAGCAAAACTTGAGATATCTCCATTTAAATGTGTCATTGCAGTTAGTTTTGGTCTGGTTTAGATTGTTGTGACCCCTCTTGAAACACTTTGGTCTTTAGGGCTGTTTGCTTTGCAACTCTTTGCTTGAGCTCAGATTGACTTGGTACAAGACACAGGAAGATTGGAAAGTCTTTCTTCAACCTGATGATGCAATTAGGCAGGAAGCCAGCTTTGACTTTTCTTTGGCTTTTTCCTTCTTGGCCTTCTATCTTTTTAATCCTTTTTTCCTCATTAATAAAGATGAGGAAATAAGAAAAATAGAATGAGTTTATTAGTGTGTGTGCCAATACCATTGACATACATACATTTACATACATAAAGACAAAATAAGAAGGAGTTGGATGTAATGGTCATAGTCAGCTAAGAATTTGGGGTCATCAGTGAATTTTCATGTGTGCTATTTCACCCTGCGACCCATTGGCACCAGAATTTGCAGACCAGCTAGAAAATGCCTGAGTTTCAGTTCCTTCTAGTAGACCATTTTCAAAGCTGATGCCCTAGAAGGAGGTCATTCCAATGGCCCCCATTACAAGTAAGTGTTTGTGATAGCCAGGATCATGGTGGGGTGGGATCATTTTCTGGCTTCAGATGAAGTATATTAAAAGTAACTTCCAGCAGTATGTCCTCTTGTTTCTTAGAAGGAAGAAGGACAAACACATCATGGAAATATTGATTAGTAGATTTGCAGGGAGCTCAAAGTTTGTCTAATTTAATCTTATCTTCCAGAGGGGTAATTAGGGGGATGAATAACTTGCTGAAGGAGGTATGGTGGGTGCACCTGGAATACAAGTCCCCCGACTCAGGACTTCAGAGCTCTTTCCCTGTTCTGTGACTGAGATTCAGAGTGAGTTTGCATGTTGGTGAGGCAAGATGCTTAAGAGAACTAAAGAGAACCCAAAGAGAACTAAAGAGCCTCTTCCCTTCCAAAGGCACAAACACAGTTTTTTTGTGTGTGTGTCTTCATGTGAGCCCCTGGATCAAATCCAGGGCTTCATATGCTAGGCAAGCTTTCTACCACTGAGCCATACCCCAGCCCACAAATACTTAATTTTGTATACAATATCAGGAGGGACAAAGACTGCCACCTTTCCTTCTTGTCCCCCTTCCTGCTGCAGGCCTGTCCATGGATCTGAATTTAAGATCCCCTTTCCCAGCCTGTTAGTAGTTCATAGCTTGGAGAATAGAAGCACTGTCTACTTTGATGGTGATGCTGGGTTCCTTATCTGTGCCTGTAACTTTGCAAACAGGATCATCTAGTCCAGGCTAAACTAACTTCTTGAAAAATTGTGAAAGCTAAGAGAGGGGAGCCGAATAGATGACCCATCTTAGATTTTTAGTTACAAGTCTCACCTTGCAGAGCTGGTAATCTGGCTCAGGAATGAAGCACTAGGCCCATGCTGTATTTGCAGCCCACTGCCTTTTGCCTCATTTGCCCTCTGACCCCCATGTCATTTTCTTCTGAATGCAGAGTGTTCTGAGCAAGAAACTTAAATACAGTGTTATCAGCCCCCCTCCCAGACCCAAGACACTAGCCTGGCCTGCATTTGTGTTTGTAGTCATTTTTCTTCTAGAATTATAAGAAGAGTGATAATGATTCTTTTCATCAGGCTCCTTTCTTCTTCAAGGCCCAAAGCCTGCAGTATGTTATTATCTCATTATCAAAATTGCCCATTATTGTATACCCGTGTTGATCTATTACATTTGTTCTTTTTTATCCCTTTACTACCCCTCCTCTTCTGCCCAGTCCTTTTTTCTCAATTGGATGGGTTTTTTTTTTGAATGTTTCTAACTCTCAGACCCAGTGGAGGGAGGTTAGT